AGATGAGAAAATATATATTTAACACATTTAAGGAAAATACTAATAAAATAAAAAATTTAAATATATTAAAATAAAATAAAAATAAATAAATGTTTATTAAGCAATTTTGATAGGAAATTGCTTAATTTTAGAAATGTTTTTGCTCTTTTTTGCTCTATGAAATAGTTGTTTTCTTTTAGAATCATTCATCTTAGCAGTAGGATTTAGATGAAAAGAGAAACAAATTAAGTTTGAGTGAAAATGTACATTTTTTGCACTCTCTGGTCGACTGACTCAGTGAATCAAATGACTCAAAAAACTCGATTCACTTTGGTGAGTGACTCATTAAAACTCGATTCAGTAAAAAGAATCAAATTTACCATCATAAGTTTGCATAGTTTTTTTGAGTTCTGTGAACTAATTAGATTTTACAGCGTAGTATCAACTGACCATTATATAAATGCCACCACCTTTAAATGATAAGCATTTTGGAGGATCATTAGCAGTGCTCTATGCCCTTGGTTAATGTGGCACAGAGAAGTATAAGTTTGTTCTGAGGGTAAAGGCAGGATCCCTTTTGCTTTCTTTTCTTTCCCTGTCATTGAAATCCTAAAATACAAGATCTCATATATTGGCGTCAGGATTTTACTGTAAAAAAAATCCCTGCTGCTGAAACTTCAAAAATCCCAGCCAAATACGTCATGTAAAGTTACTCAATATATTTTGATCAGACCACTTGTCTGATCATTTTTACATAATTTTTACAATTTTTACATACACAAAAAAAACCAAAAAATAAACCTTTATTGATTTTCCAGTGTTTACTTGTTTCTTTAGAGAAGAGATAATATTTATCAGGACTAAACTGTTTCCCAACCTGCTGCTGGGAAATTGTGTGTACATGTGTTTGGAAAGAGGATGAATAGACATTTTGTGGGAGTGCACTAGGAGGGAGGTTAGTGAATAAAAGAACACTGAAAAAAGTCTAACATGCAGTCATTCATTCAATCTAATAAGTGCCATTCAAAACAGAATAAAATCATTGATTTGATTGTGAAACCCTTTCTTTTTGCATTTTAAAATACCACTTTTGATTTGGATGAAACTAAATATCTGTACAAAGGACACAACGCAAAGTCTTTGATTTCTCTCAAAACATATATTTCTTTTCATGTTGAACAGATAATATCTTTAATTTGAGTCAAAGTGATTTGCACTTGAACACGCCCACCAGAAATAGACCGGGACCAATTTTTATTCTGCATGGCTGCTGGAAACATCATGTCACATCTTTGATTAATTTCATCTGAAAATAAACGTAAGTAAAGCCAAGTGTGTTACAAAAGCTTTTATAATTTGTATTGCCAAAATTGCAGAAAATAACCCCATTTAAGCTGGGTCGACAGCCACCCCTAATTTTTGCATGATTGTAGCTGCTAGCTATAAGCTAGCTAGCTATCCTGCGCAACGTTAGAACTGGTTACCAGAAACCGACCATCACAGTCGGGAATACAAGTTAGTATACTGGTAAAAAACGGCTTTTTGCCTAACTAGCTAGCGTTACCACGATGCATCGGTGGTGGATAAAGCTAGCTAGCATAAGTTCATAGTTCATAACATTCATAGTATAACTCCGTGCTCCGCTTCGTTTGAATTTTTCTGGTGAGCTCGCGGTTTCTAGACACAAGCTTGTGTTTGTGCGCGCACGTTTGTCTCTCTTCATATAAATATCTGTGTGTTATGTGTGTGTACACCGAGCGCAAAAGATAATTATTAATGTGCATGATTTAGAGACAGAAATAACATGCCAGCATATAAGATCAATGACATAAGACTAATTCCTTCAATTGACTTTCAGGCGCGGCTCGGAAAAATGTGCATTTTCTGAAGAAATTGTAATTTTAACAGCAAAAAATTGACCCTATGCCAAACTTAGTCGCTAATGGCTGGTCTGTAGACTGTTTGGTATGTCATGTTACGTATTTCTTGGTTTTTCTATGTAATGTGTTTTATAGAGAAGTAACATTATTCTTTTTTTTCTGTATGCTTTCAGAACCACAGATCGCTCCATCCATTCCATGGCTGAAGCATACATTTTCATTTAATCTGAACAGGTATCATTTTGCATTTACACTGCACATCCTTTTTAAACATTTCATAATAATCTAGACTCTCCCTCATTATCCTCTCATTCACCTTGCTGATGTGTTGAGGACTTGATAAAAGAATACATGGTATGTCCATATCTGTTCTGTCTCTACATGAGATGCAGTCTCTTGATGTAAATTTGACAACTCTGCTATTAAATGCAGTGATTAATGTAGGACAGCAACGATTAATCAACTCATCAAGTTAATATCTTAGGGTTCTGTATTGTTTTCTTTTTTTTTTCTTGGGCTTTGTTCCACCATTGATTTAATTTAATGATTATGCAATTCACAATCTGATTAGTCAAATAATTGTTCTAATAGTCTGTGACCAAACAACTATCAAAATAGTAGTTTATTATGGTCAAAGATTTATCAGGTGTGCCAGACTTCAGTTCTTCACTTGTACATTTTGTTCCATATTTTACCTCAAGATATCCCAGAAAGATGAAGCTGAGGAAGAGCTGCAGAGTACCACCATGGCACTCTTCGTCTTCAGGGACAACTCAAGCCTCCTACATCAGCCTCGAGACATCGGGATAATCATTGATGGTGTGGAAGTCCTGAATGAGTTGCCTTCTGTGGCAGCTGGAGTGGCAATGGTCTTTGGACTCTGTTATGCTCTTAATATGGAATATCCACGAGGATTCAGGTTCACCTTTGAGGCTCTTCAAAAGATTATGATGGAGCTTGACTTTAACAAGATGACCTCTAAGATTCGCAAACTTAATTGTGAACTTAACACTGCACAGTAGTGTGTTTGCATGCATGTGTGCATGTGTATGTGCACATGCATGTGCATGTGTGCTTGGTTATTTTCTTGGTTGGCCTGCAGTGGTATTCTACATTCAAAATTTATAAGAACACCCATTTGAAAGGGAGATTTAAGTTGATTTCATTGATACATGTGTAGATTTTTTTTTTTTTTTACATTGTACACGCTCAGTGCACATATAAACATTTTTGAGTACTTGCAAATTGGTTTAAAAAGAGTTTTTATAATGGTTTTATGCCAGTTTTAGACAGGTTGCAGGTTTTATACTGGTTTTCAAAAGATTGCAGGTTTTATAAAACAAACATTTCTCTAATCATTTCTGCCGTAGCACTAAATCTGTATATTACTAATCCTCTCTATTGATTATAGTTAAAATGGTTTGGAACAATAAATAATTTTGAAATAATTGGTTGGCCAACTGTCTTGTTTTTTATAGGAAATGCAGAGCATTTTTGAACTGAAATAAAATGAAATGTAAAAAATATAGTTTGAATATATGTAAATCAATTACCTGGCTTCAACACAAACATATTAGTTCATGTTAATTTGGTTCGATGTGAATACATTAGGTTGGTTAAATTTCAATATATTAGCTTGGTTCAATAATTAAAATATGGTTCTATGTAAAAAAATCAATTTGGATCAATGCAAAATTTAACGTTTCAGTCAAGTCTAGTAATATTGTTTATATCAACATAAAAGTATCAGGTCATATCAAGTGACTCAATTTGGATTCTATAAAGCCAAATATTTTGGATGTGACAACTGGACATCATCTTTTTTAACCCTCTGATGCATAGTGGTCACTGGAGTGGACAGCTACTAAAACGTACATATCTCTTTAATGCATTGGTTTCTATGGTGGAACTGCATATTAGCCTCTAGAGTGCTCTCTGCTGCCATGCTCCATTGAGGTCAATTCAGTGTTCAGTTAGTGCAACTGCAAGTAAATTTCCTCTGAATCAAAGATGGCAGACAAACTGTCACCCCTGCCGACCACTGCTGGCATATCCTGTCAATCCTTCTATGCTAAAAGAGCCCAACAGGTAAAAAAAATATGATGATATGCAGTAACATCTAGGGAAGGATATTATCTGTTTGGAATAAGAAATTGTTATGTCTAATATGTAGAAAACTACGATTAACCATGTGTCCACTGTAGTGGACATCATGCATTACCCACTATATTTTTTTAACATAAGTCATAAATTGTCTCACTGTTTTTTGGGACTGTTTTGGTTATAAGTAAGCATATAATTGTTACATTTATAAGCTACTCATTTAAAATGTATATTTCTGTGCAGATCAGCTGTAGTTTGAGTTACTATAATAATTATTTTATCATATTTTGTAGACTTCAAATGCAGCAAAGAATAAGGCAGCGTACAGAATAGTCCAGGAAATTCCATCCAGCTCCAGTGATGATGATTTCATTGATGAGTGCAGTGATGATGAGCTCAGTGATAAGTCCAGTGATGATGAGAGTGGCTGCCAGAGCAGAACAGAGACATAGGAACTACGGACAGCCTAGGTGTGATGAACACAGAAGTGTTTGGAGATGCAGAGACTAAGATGTCAGTTTGTGTTTTCTTCCAGCATGCTACTAAGGGCTTGGTAATACTGTCCTGCATCGTTATAGAACTGTGTAGACTCAAAAATGTTTCTCTTGTTGGAGATAGTTTGCCATATTCAGGTGTAGGATTCACAGCTAGGACTGTTGATTGGTTTTGTTATTTACGTCTAAACATTGGGGCCTTATGAGTTGAAAGTTCCAAAAAAATTGCTGAGATGTTTTTCAAAGGATACAAGCAAACAAGTGTTTGTATATTTACAATAGAACACAAGGTAATTAATTTTTATAGTAAATTCACAGTATTTCATGCTAAGTGCTCAGGCGCATGTAGTCCACTGGAGTGGACAAGTTTATAACTTTATAAAAAAACATATTTTTGGGAAAAAAAGAGTTGAACATTTTTTTTCATGTCCTGAGAAGAATAAAAGCACTTAAGAAAAAAATCTTGACCAAGGCTTTCATAATTCATGCATCAGAGGGTTAATTTGAATAGGGTTATTCTTTTTACAGTGAAGGATGCTGCACGGCCACGGTTTACTTTAGCAGCAGAAAAGGGTCGGGATAATGAGGAGGACTCTGCTGCTGCTGGCCTCTCTGGCCTTTGTTTCTCTCACTTCTGTGGCTGATGGAGCTCCATTGTAAGTAGACCTGCTGTACTTTTACACATTCCCAGTGAGGTTGAATTAATTCATGCAAAACAAAGCCAATGTTATTATCTTGGATGTGTGCAGAAGGTTTAATTGCATTGAATTGAATCGAATTGAATTTTTGCATGAATATATTATTTTATTTTGCATAGTTTCACATTCTTTTTTAAGCAAGAAGGCATGGGTGGTATTTGAAGGAAAAGGAATGAGGAAAAACTTATGGAAAAAAAATATTATTAATGAAACCACAGTCCAACTAACTTTATTGCTAACTTAATTTTATTTGTTATTTTGTGTAATGAGAAGCTGCAGCCAGGTCTGCAGCTTATGTAACATAAGTCAAGGTAATCTGGTATTTAAAGTGATGACAAGAAGTTGTCCTAAACTTTGTCCAGAGTTTGCACAGTGGTGCATTACGCCAGACAAAGCAAATAGACTCCAGAAGCATGATGAAAAGATGTATTGATTTAGTTTTGGACTTTATTCAAGATAATCAATAGATCACATAATCAAGAAGAGTCACATGGGAAAACAGCCGGTAAATACTTTTTTTGAAAGTATTTGTCCATAAAACCTTTATACAATAAATAAATAGATAAAAATAATAATTCATCTTTAATTTTTAATTAAAAATAATTATTTCAGCAATTATTAATATGTTTTTCATACACAGCAAATCCAGCATGTCCAAATTAACACTGTCGGATTTGATTTCAACACTATTAAAGTGTCTATATGGGTCCACACCAGAGAGTGTTAATTTAACTCTTTTTGGAGAGTTGGTACGTTAACTCTGATTTAGTGTTAAACACCAAATCTGTCTGGAGTTGATAATTTAACACTTGGTGTTAAGAGTTTATATATTAACTCTCAAAGAGTATTTTAGTTTAACTACGTAAGAGTTATCTTCTAATTCATTCTAAAAAGCAGGAATTTTACTGTTCTGAACTTCTAGAAATTTCTTTTGGAAATAAACATTTACTAAAAAGATGCAATGGTTTTTGAAAAACATTTATTCTGAACTGTGCACCACAATTTCAAAACATTTTCTGAAAGATGTAACAGTGTACATGTTCTCGCTTTCATTAGAATTTTGTTTATCAAAAGGTCTGACATGGTAAATGCAAATAACAGCATTCTCATCACTTATTTCTTCAATACAATATGCATGTCCTTCATTCATCCCTTTGTGGAACTTCAGCGCACTTCTGCTCTCCCCCATATTCCATCTTCACAAGCATATCCTGTGTGGAGATTGAATAAAAATTAGTTGACACTAATTATTGGCACAAATAATCCAGTAAACAATTGCAGCACAGCAAAAAAAAGGAATCCTCTTTGAGCCATTACTTGTGTAAAGTATTTTCCCAAAAGACAAGGACACAGGCAACAGGTAATACTGAACTAAATGTAAAACCTCAACCTTTTTCATTTTTACCTAAACCGTGTGCACAAAACTCTGGAGGGATCTATGTTAACGTAGAATCCAGTCAGGACGTCTGCTACTGCTGTTTGCTCGTTTTTTTTTTTTTTTTTTTTTTTTATGGGTGATCGGTTTCAGGCTTCAAGTAGCACCATTATACCAACATTTCACATTCTACACATTGTTTTAGGCGTATTTGACCAAAAGTTTGACTGAAAATTCACATGCAAGCTTTTTTCAAGGCTGTGGTATTTGCCTGCAAACAATACCTTTCAGCTAGCTAAAACAGAATATTATGCTATCACCGAGCAACATGGCTAATGCCTTTCACACAGCTTTGTCTCAACTCCAAAGAGCCACAGAAGTAAAAGCTCATGATAATAATTGAAACAATCTTTGAAAAAATGACTTACCAAGCATGGCAAACAACTCAAATATGCGGAGCAAAATGTTCTGAAACGGCTTCACTTCCGCTTCGATTGGAGCCGTGCTGGGGGCGGAGTCTGTGAATTCACTCTATTGGTGATTTTGGTGATTTGACCTCTCATCTGAAAAGTTCAGTCACTAATCTTGGTGTTAAACTTGATTCTGCGCTTACTTTTGAAGGTCATGTAAGTGGGGTGGTAAAATCAGCTTTTTATCACCTCAGACGCCTGTCGAAGGTTAAGCCTTTCCTTTCCAAACCCAATTTGGAAACTCTTATTCATGCTTTTATCACCTCACGTCTGGACTATTGTAATTCCCTTTTAATAGGGGTCGGGTCGGGCACCTTGTCACGCCTGCAGTTAGTGCAAAACGCGGCGGCGCGATTTTTAACCGGTAGTAGGAAATTCGATCACATCACTCCGGTTCTGGCTTCCTTGCATTGGCTTCCCATTGATTTTAGGGTTCGTTTTAAGGTCCTTTTATTGGTTTTTAAATCTTTAAATGGTCTGGCGCCTGTGTACTTATCTGACTTGCTGAAGCCACATGTTCCTCCTCGCTCGCTCCGTTCAGCTGAGCAGCTGCTGCTGTCGGTCCCTAAGTCGCGGCTGAAATGCAGAGGAGACCGTGCCTTTTCAATTGCGGCTCCGATGCTCTGGAATAACCTTCCCCTCCAAATTAGACAAGCGTCATCAGTGCAGGTCTTTAAGTCCAGATTGAAAACCAATTTTTATTCCCTGGCTTTTAACTCTGTAGGAAACTGACACCTTCTTATTTATTTTATTGTTTGTAATGATTTTATGGTATTTTTAATTTGGTTGTTGTTTTGATCTGTGTTGTTCAGCACTTTGGTCTGCCTGGTGTGTTCTTAAAGTGCTATACAAATAAACAATGATGATGATGATGATGGTGTCATAGCCCCTCTAGGAGTTCAGAGTTAAGAGGTCAAGAGTTAATGTTTCCATTGTAACACCTCCAGATTTGACAGAGAAACACTCATTTTTAACACTCGATTTTAACTACTATCATTTTACACCTCAGAGTTACATTAAAAGAATGTGACTCTGCTTAGAGTAAAATTAACTCTACTTTTGCAAGAAGACTATTAATACCAAAACATTTAACACTTTTGAATTTGCTGTGTAGTGTCTAAAATGAACATATAACATAATAAATAAATAATTTATTCTTTAGTCAGTAACAGCATGTGTTTATAAGATAAGATAAGATAAGATAAGATAACTCTTTATTGTCATTGCACAGTCATACATAGTACAGTAGTACAATGAAATTGGAAAAACTGTCCTACGTCGGCACTACATATAACACAACACGACACGATATGACACATCACAACGTAACAAACAACACAACACAGTATATTAACTTAGTATAAAAAAGAAGAATAAGTGTATGTGTATTGCACACTGTTATTATTGCACATTAATTATTATTGCACCTTGTTATAAATATAAATATTATTGTTATCGTTTTAAACATTTTTACCTCCCCCTAAAAAGTCCAGGGAGGTATCCAGTCAGGTCAGCTATTTACATTGATCAGGGCTATTGCCCTGTTGTAAAAGCTGTCCTTGAGTCTATTTGTTCGGGACCTCAGCAGCCTGAACCTCCTGCCAGACGGCAGCAGCTTAAACACCCGGTGTCCTGGGTGTGTGCAGTCCCGTAGGATGCTGCGTGCCCTCTTGAGACAGCGAGTGCTGTACAGGTCCTTCAGGGAGGGAAGAGGATGTCCAATGATTTTTTGGGCCATGTTGATGACCCTCTGGAGTGCCTTTCTGTGTGCTGTGGTGCAGCTGGAGAACCACACACCGATGCAATATGTCAGCACACTTTATCTACACAGAGACTAAAACATTAACATCTTTCTATGTTACCACCACTCTGCAGGCAAGTGATGTCTGCCCCAAACTTGTTGCGGGTGGGAACTGCAGAAAACATCTTTGTGGAGTGTCAAGACTGCACTGGAGGAGACGTTAGGGTTGAAATCAATGTGATGAACCATCCAACCAAAACTAAAAGGCTGGCAACAACATCTGTGACCCTCAACAATGCAAATGACTTTCAGCAGCTTGAGAAAGTAACGGTAAGTTGAATTATTTGTTTACTGTATGATAATATTGTTGTTATTTCTATTTCATTCAATATTCAATTATCATTGAATATGCCATCCAAGTCTTTATAGACTTTTCATACTGGTTTCAGATCCCTGCAGGAGACTTCAGTAAAGATCCCAACGCGAAGCAGTACGTGTACCTACAGGCTCAGTTCCCTGACCGCCTCCTGGAGAAAGTAGTCATGGTTTCCTTCCAGTCTGGTTACATCTTCATTCAGACAGACAAGACCCTTTATACACCAAACAGCAAAGGTGAGTCTACCGCTACCTCATGACTGAGAAACAGCACACACAAGGGTAGTTCTGTGGTGACCCACTAGAGGGCTCCACTCAAACCCAAGCTTAGAGGAGGGGTTTTTGTTGTGTTTGGGTGCGATGTGCTCAGTTGATGTATGGAGGTGAATAAAGCTGGAATGGAAAACTAGAGCTCCCGTGTTGTGTGTTCCATGCTTCCATAGTTCTACCTTTATTTTATTTAATACAGATTCAATATTTTTTCAGGGCCATTCAATAAACTTAATGAAACATGGTGCTGCTCCAATAATTTAGTTTTGAGTTTGAGACAAAAAACTGCTTGTTACAGTAATTATGTGGCTATGGCATCACCTCACACAAATTAGAAAGCTGCTTTGTGTAGTCCATGCAGTCCCTTTGAAAAAGGTTTGATAATTATTTTCAGTGAAGATTTGAAAGGAAAAAAATCACATATTTCCCTCAGTTTGACTAAGACACATTTTAAATGAATGACCTTAAATGAAATTACTAAACTGAACTTCTTGATTAAATATTCCTCCCAACATGTATACATCACTGCTCGAGCAGCAAAAGTAACATCTTCTCTTCCCTTCAGTTCGTTTCAGGATGTTTGCACTGACACCCCAGATGGAGCCTGTAGAGAGGGATGAAGCAGCCCAATCTGATCCTTCCATTGCCATTGAGTTTGTGGTATTGTGTTTTATTCTTCATGGGCTCAGAATTGAAAGTAACATTATGCAAGGAAAACAAATATTTTATTTGCAAAGAAACAAAACAACCAAAATACATCAACTTTGTCTTGAATTTTTTATATTGTCATTGGATTTTTTTTCCAGACACCTGAAGGCATTGTTTTACCACTTGATATAGTCGCTCTAAAATCAGGTATTCATTCTGGAGATTTCCAGCTTGGTGAAATTGTTAGGTGAGTATTATTATTATTACTGTGATTATTATTATCATTATTGTGGCATGTGGGGAGTGGCTAGTTATCTCCCATCATGCCTTTCGAATATGTGTTTCTGTTTAAGATGCTCGTTGTTTTTTGTTTAAGTTTATGTGACTCTTATCTGTTCGCTTAACTGTTCTTGTTGATGCTGCAGTATAAATTCACTGACAGTTATTGTTGATGGAAAGAATTTAGAACCATGACTCAGTTCAGACATGTAGTCATTGACCATCTGAAGCACAGTGTAGTATAGCTGAAGTGTCCAATAAAGATCTCCCCCTATCTAATTTCTGTAGAACAGTAAGTTTAACTTTTGCATGGGTGCTTTGCTGTTAAGAATACTCAGCTGGCCACATTTTTATTATTATTATTATTGTTATTATTATTAGTGTGTATTATGAAGGGTAGTATGTGCTACATTGATTATTTTTACTATATAATCAATCATGCATAACTTATACACTTCCATAATTTGGCAATTGTAGTCTAATTAGATCCTGTGTGTAGAATATAGTCTGCAGTATGATTAATGTGCTGCCTTGAGTTTTACAAATGCTTGGACTATTTGATTGATCAGTATATCTCTCTCTCGCAATCTGTGTGTGTGTGTGTGTGTGTGTGTGTGTGTGTGTGTGTGTGTGTGTGTGTGTGTGTGTGTGTGTCAGACCTCCTGCTGACCAAAGGGTCGTAAACGCAGGAAGCTTACATCAAAAGCACAAGGATGTGTCTGTGATAAAAGACTACAGCCCCCCACCTAGAACTTCGAGAATCTGGGGGGAAGGACAGTGGAATTTCTTTCATCAGAGTTAAAACAATGTACAAATGGTAAACATAAAAATGACAAACATTTAACAATTCACTCTAACAGTCGTGACTTCTCAAAATGGGCTCATTGAACGCAGCACGGATAAGATCTTGGAGAAGCTTGAGGCTGCTGTGAACACGCAGACTAAGACCTCTGAGCGAAAATTGGATAACATCTTGGAGAAGCTCACAGCGGTTGTGAGTTCTCAGAATTTGCTCTTTGAGAGCAAGATTGATAACATCCTGGAGAAGCTCACGGCTCTCCAATGGGAGATTGAGAGACCAGTGTCGGACTGCTAGAGAGGCTGTGAAATTCACATGCAGTTGTTCGCACTAAAGGAAAAACCACCATCATTTCATGCGGTCTATGGTGTATTGACAGACATGTGCTTTTTGTGCTGGGGTGTTTTTTTTCTGTTCTCAAACTGTTCTCCCATTAGGAGCTCAGTCTGAGTGGAGTTTTTTTCTCCTCCTCTCACCTCATGTTATGTATTTTCATTGTTTTTTCCTATCAGCCTACCTCTCTGACATGTCTTCCCAATGTGATGTTTGTATAAAGTTTGGTCGGAGGGTTCCTTTGTAAGTGTGCATGCGCCATTAGCGTGCTGCCTGCTGTAACCTATAATTTCCTTCGGGATTAATAAAGTATTTCTGATTCTGATTATTTGTGATCATCTATCATCCACCTGGGCCTTACACAGAGTCTCTGTCGGATTTCTCAGACTTTTATCTGATTTAGTGCTCAGCTCAGATAAAATAATTATTGTGGGTGATTTTAACATCCATGTAGATGCTAAAAATGACAGCCTCAACACAGCATTTAATCTGTTATTTATGAACGCCCGTTTCTGCCACTAAAAAAAAAGTATCCATATCTCGTAATTTTGAGTTTCGACTTATTAATTCAAAAAATTTTAAATTAATAAATTTTGTTAACTTGAAATTAATTCAGAATTTTGAGAAAAGTAACTCGAAATTTTGAGTTAGCGCTGCCAATCAGTAATCTACGTTAATGATGTAATTTCCTTGCTACCCGGAAGCTGAAGCCCTCAGCTACAAATGCTAAGCTATCAGTATTACAGCCAGTCATGAATCCACAAATTGCTGAGTATTTTCAGCGTGGCTTCACCAATGATGAAATCCTTGTGTTATTAGCTGAATCACATGCCGTTACAGCAAATGTACTCTCGAAAGCACCAATTTTTTGCGATCCGGTTTTGAGTGTGCATTCCTCTGCGCCATATCCTTCAAGGTAATGAGAAAATTGTCATTCACGTAGATTACTGATTGGCAGAGATAACTTAAAAATTCGGGTTACTTTTCTCAAAATGTCCAGTTAATAAGTTGGATTTTTGAGAAAGATAACTCGAAATTTCAAGCTATGGATTTTTTTTTTTTGTGGCGGAAATGGTCTTCCATAGTTGTTAGACTCAATTGGCTTCTCTTGAAATGTAAAAGAACCCACCCACCACTTTAATCGCACTCTAGATCTTGTTTTAAAATATGGCATAGAAACTGAACATTTAACAGTGTTTCCTGAAAACCCTCTCTTGTCTGATCATTTCCTGATAGCATTTACATTTACAATAATTGATTACATACAGACAATTTAATCTTGTCTGATTACCTTTACATACTGGTGTATATTTTGATTCAAATGAGACAGAACAATAACATGAGTTGTTAAAAAACAGAAAAGAAAAGAATATTCGACAGTATATACTCCATACACTGTAAAACCTAATATTGTGTTTAATTAAAAATATTAAGTATGCTGAACTCATTTTTTAATCAATTTATTATTAGAAGTAAATTTAAGTAAGTTACCGGTACTTTTTATGCAAAACCGCTGATCAACTCAATTTATTTGTGTTGTCTTAACTTAGGAAAAATATAGTAAGCTGGAAATTTTGCTTCTCAGTGCGGGAGGTAGTGGTGGGCGGATCGATCCAAATATCGATAGTATGGATCCCAAGTCGGGATCGGTATCGGATCGATACTAGCCTGGTTAGATCAATTCTTTACTTTCTAGTTCTGCTTGTTTGCTATGCTGTGCTTTCGGCAAAAACGAAACAGCCAGGTCGCTGGACTCGCCGCTCCTGCGTCAGCGGAGAGCAGGCACGCTTTGCTCCCCCCCCCCTTATGTTTCGGTGTTGCACTGACACGTCACGTGGCTTAGACACTTTGGGGGTTATTAAGTTGTTTACATATTAATTATATTTTTACCAATTGTTTTTGTTGTTGAGAATTTTTATTGTGATTTTATATTATAGTTTATCAACAGTATTTGTTTTAATTTGTTTACTGGTTTGCGTGCACTTAAGATTACCAAAGAAAAAAAGATCGCAGGACCATGCAGCCTGCGTGCCGAAGCGGACAGCATGCTGCCCTCAGGCAGGACCCCCGCGCACCTCAACCTCGACCAAGCTGCGTGCTGTCCACCCTTACAGTGATCACCCGGTTGCTGTAACAGTAGCCTACATTCAAAGCCCTCCTGCTGCCAGCTGTACACATCAACACCAAAAACAACAACAGCACAAGCAGCGCACAGGTTTTAAGCCAGTGAGGCATGATTGTAGATGCAGTGAAGGTGAGTCCAGTGGTGGTCCTAGCCTGTTTGGCGCCCTGGGCGAATACTCCCTCTGCCGCTGGGCTCATGTTACTTGAAAATGAACACCACAGCCTTAAAAACCTTATATAAAAATATGTCTGCAAAATTTTCTGTTGATTGTTTGAAATAAAAAAAAGTGAGATAAGAGCCAGGCAAAATTTTTCAGGAGGTGCAGCTGTTAGGGGTGGGGTTTGGGGGGTATTTTCAATCCATAGCCACGACTAACTAACTATATATATCATGTTTAACCTGAATGGCAAAAGACCACAGGGGGGTTGAAAACGATATGCCAGGAGTTACCTGTGTATGGGCTCAAAATTTTGTATTTGTAAATCAGGATTTGTATGTGTAAAAAGAATTTGTGTGTGTGTAAAAAAGATTTGTTTGTGGACTTAGCCAAAAAAAAAAAACCTGCAAGTCACAAGTACGAATTTTGACCCTATTTTTCTTCCTTTTATCTGATTGGTCAATGTCATGTCAATCACAAACGTAACAATCCAATCAGCGAACAGATGTGTTTGGCTGACAGAGGGGCACTTTTTTGCAAAATTCGTACTTGTAAAGATGGCCGCCTGCAGGTTCAAGCTCATTGCATCTCCAACCCACATCCACTGCCACTGTACCTAAGGGAAGTTAAAGACTTTCTTCTGCACTTACATTTGCATCACCTCGATCCATGACAGTCATTCAGGCAGTAATGCCTGGACTGGAAACAAGGCATCCTTAAAATAATACAACATTCCAGCTCCTGTGTTGGAATGAAAAACAAATGCGGTGTTTAAATTAGAGACTGCATTTGTGACAGAACAATAAATATGTTTTATTTTCATTATATAAGTAAGTACAAAACACACTTGTGGTAGGCCTAAACTTATTTTCAGAATAATTCAATCTGAGACTTTGTTTCATTGTAAGATTATAACAGTGATGGCAATGTAATTGTTTGTTGTTCAAGAGAACAGTGTCCAGTATGTTGGCTGTTAAGCTTTTTTGCATTTGAAAATTAAAGTTGGGCTGATTTTAACATCATTACAAAAAGTGTTGTTAATTATTGTTAATCATATTCAGGTTACCACAAATTGTTTTTTCATTTAGTTGAACTTGAAATGTTTGTCAGTAGGTAAATAATTAGTATTGTACTGTCAGAAATATCAAGTTATTCTTTTTTTTTTTTGCCTGTCCCATTTGGTTCTTTAGCCGTCAGAATTGTTGTCTGAAGACCAGCAAGGATACCCAATGGATTTACTTTGCCAAATGGATCATCACGGCCTTGCCGTATTGGTCCATTTGATCAACCTTTGTTGTTATTATTTATTTGATTTTATTTTCAGTTGTTACAGACGGGACAGACATGAGTGAGGGATAGGAAAGGGAGAAAGAAAGATGAAGGAAAAGAAAAACAGAAGGGAAGGGGGACAGTGAGAAAGGGCACTTAAAAAGAGAAAGACGAGAAAAAATCTCCTGGATTGAGGGAAAAAGAAGAGAAAACAACCAAAAAAAACAGAGCAACATACTAAACACAACACCAGGACCGCCCAGCCCCACAGGACCCAGGGCACCCCACCCGACCCCACCGCAGAAGAAGCTGTACCCACCCTAACATTCAATCATCTCCCAGACTGCACAAGACAGTAGACACCCAGGTTAAGTTTATTCTCCACCTCTCCTATGACTCTCCCAAGAATATCAAGTTATTCTTAATACTGCATACTTGCAATGAATAAGTTGTCCTAACAGTCATCTTAAGTAAGCTTTAAGAAAAGCATCTGGACTTCTTTAAGAAGTCCAGATGCTTTTCTTTGCAAGCTCCTTTGACTACGATGACCTGGATGACTGAGAACCTTCACAGACATAAGTAAGCTTTACTTAGTTTTTTTGAGTTCTGGAAACAGGTTTTTCCTCTGTACTCACAGTGAATAAGTTGCCCTAACTTAGTCATCTTAAGGAAACTTCACTCAATTTTTTGTGGCAACGAGTTTGCATATTTATTTTGAGTTCTGGGAACTGACAAGGTTGTACAGTGTACCCAAAATGAATAGGTTGCCCTAGCTTAATTATCTTAAGTAAATTTTACTCAATTTTTTGAGTTCTGGAAACTAATGAGGCTGTACAGTTTACTCAAATTGAGTAAGTTGCCCAGGCTTAATCATCTTAAGTAAAACTTTACCCAATTTTTTTGAGGCACCAAGTTTGCATAGTTTTTTTGAGTTCTGTGAACTAATTAGATTTTACAGCGTAGTATCAACTGACCATTATATAAATGCCACCACCTTTAAATGATAAGCATTTTGGAGGATCATTAGCAGTGCTCTATGCCCTTGGTTAATGTGGCACAGAGAAGTATAAGTTTGTTCTGAGGGTAAAGGCAGGATCCCTTTTGCTTTCTTTTCTTTCCCTGTCATTGAAATCCTAAAATACAAGATCTCATATATTGGCGTCAGGATTTTACTGTAAAAAAAATCCCTGCTGCTGAAACTTCAAAAATCCCAGCCAAATACGTCATGTAAAGTTACTCAATATATTTTGATCAGACCACTTGTCTGATCATTTTTACATACTGGTGGATATGTGGATTCAAAACAGGCAGTACAATAATATGAGCAATAACATGACATTTTATAAAACACAAAAGAATATTTACTAGATCCCGTGAACTAATTACTAAACTGCATGGTAAGACATAATTTAAACATGTAAACCTTTATTGATTTTCCAGTGTTTACTTGTTTCTTTAGAGAAGAGATAATATTTATCAGGACTAAACTGTTTCCCAACCTGCTGCTGGGAAATTGTGTGTACATGTGTTTGGAAAGAGGATGAATAGACATTTTGTGGGAGTGCACTAGGAGGGAGGTTAGTGAATAAAAGAAGGATGCTGCACGGCCACGGTTTACTTTAGCAGCAGAAAAGGGTCAGGATAATGAGGAGAACTCTGCTGCTGCTGGCCTCTCTGGCCTTTGCTTCTCTCACTTCTGTGGCTGATGGAGCTCCATTGTAAGTAGACCTGCTGTACTTTTACACATTCCCAGTGAGGTTGAATTAATTCATGCAAAACAAAGCCAATGTCATTATCTTGGATGTGTGCAGAAGGTTTAATTGCATTGAATTGAATTGAATTGAATTGAATTGAATCGAATTTTTGCATGAATATATTATTTTATTTTGCATATATAGTTTCACATTCTTTTTTAAGCAAGAAGGCATGGGTGGTATTTGAAGGAAAATATTAATGAAATATTAATGAAACCACAGTCCAACTAACTTTATTGCTAACTTAATTTTATTTGTTTTTTTGTGTAATGAGAAGCTGCAGCCAGGTCTGCAGCTTATGTAACATAAGTCAAGGTAATCTGGTATTTAAAGTGATGCCAAGAAGTTGTCCTAAACTTTGTCCAGAGTTTGCACAGTGGTGCATTACGCCAGACAAAGCAAATAGAATCCAGAAGCATGATGAAAAGATGTATTGATTTAGTTTTGGACTTTATTCAAGATAATCAATAGATCACTGATTGTGTTTAAAGTCCAGCACATAGCTCATAACCAATCGGAATTTACCCAAAAAACGAACCTTTCCATGGGTTAAAACATCTGATGTTTATAATGACAATCTCTTTATGTTGTCACTGTGGCTCCTTTTCAAGCAACCAGTCATATATTATAGGGAAAAGAACTGTCATTATGATAAAGAAAGAACAACATCAAAGAACAGCATCTAAAGTGTTTTAAACATTGTGAAAGGGTATATTCTAACTCAAGACATGATCTTCTCATGTTAAACAGACCTTAAAGAGGATTACAAAATCTACAATAACTTTATGATATAAAATGGTTTATATTGTCTATGAATAATAATGATGAATCAACAAACTGGCATCAGGCTGCACTGCAATATATAGAGAGTATTCAAAAATGTGAGCTCAGACTTTAGCAAAGAAGCACAAAGATAGCATTTGTCAACCTGGGAATTAAGAATTCCTATGTAACACTCTTACTGAATACTGGCTATTTCCACTTCCTCAAAACCTTGAAAAATATTTTTTAAAAACCCACAAATTAAAAAATAATAATTAAGGGTCACATGGGAAAACAGCCGGTAAATACTTTTTTTTGAAAGTATTTGTTCATAAAACCTTTATACAATAAATAAATAGATAAAAATAATAATTCATTTTTAATTTTTAATTAAAAATAATTATTTCAGCAATTATTAACATGTTTTTCATAGTGTCTAAAATGAACATATAACATAATAAATAAATAATTTATTCTTTAGTCAGTAACAGCATGTGTTTATCTACACAGAGACTAATATCATTAACATCTTTCTATGTTACCACCACTCTGCAGGCAAGTGATGTCTGCCCCAAACTTGTTGCGGGTGGGAACTGCAGAAAACATCTTTGTGGAGTGTCAAGACTGCACTGGAGGAGACGTTAGGGTTGAAATCAATGTGATGAACCATCCAACCAAAACTAAAAGGCTGGCAACAACATCCGTGACCCTCAACAATGCAAATAACTTTCAGCAGCTTGGGAAAGTAACGGTAAGTTGAATTATTTGTTTACTGCATATAGAATAGAATAGAATTCAACTTTATTGTCATTGCACATGCACAGGTACAGGGCAACGAAATGCAGTTTGCATCCATCCAGAAGTGCTTATGTGACTATCATTGTTATTTCTATTACATTGAAATTCAATTATCATTGAATATGCCATCCAAGTCTTTATAGACTTTTCATACTGGTTTCAGATCCCTGCAGGAGACTTCAGTAAAGATCCCAACGCGAAGCAGTACGTGTACCTACAGGCTCAGTTCCCCGACCGCCTCCTGGAGAAAGTCGTCATGGTTTCCTTCCAGTCTGGTTACATCTTCATTCAGACAGACAAGACCCTTTATACACCAAACAGCAAAGGTGAGTCTACCGCTACCTCATGACTGAGAAACAGCACACACAAGGGTAGTTCTGTGGTGACCCACTAGAGGGCTCCACTCAAACCCAAGCTTAGAGGAGGGGTTTTTGTTGTGTTTGGGTGCGATGTGCTCAGTTGATGTATGGAGGTGAATAAAGCTAGAGCTCCCATGTCGTGTGTTCCATGCTTCCATAGTTCTACCTTTATTTTATTTAATACAGATTCAATATTTTTTCAGGGCCATTCAATAAACTTAAGGAAACATGGTGCTGCTCCAATAATTTAGAGTTTGTTACAGTAATTATGTGACTATGGCATCACTTTTCACAAATTAGAAAGCTGTTTTGTGTAGTCCATGCAGTCCCATTGAAAAAGGTTAGAACATCTGATAATTTTTTTCAGTGAAGATTTGAAAGGAAAAAAGTCATATATTTCCCTCGGTTTGATTAAGAAATATTTTAAATTTAAATTAGAAAACCAAACTTCTTTATTAAATATTCCTCCCAACATGTATACATCACTGCCCGAGCAGCAAAAATAACATCTTCTCTTCCCTTCAGTTCATTTCAGGATGTTTGCACTGACACCCCAGATGGAGCCTGTAGAGAGGGATGAAGCAGCCCAATCTGATGCTTCCATTGCCATTGAGTTTGTGGTATTGTGTTTTATTCTTCATGGGCTCAGAATTGAAAGTGACATTTTGCAATCAGCCGTAGCAAAACAACGAAAACACAAACTTTTTTTATTAGATTTTTTTAATATTTTCATTTATATCTTAGTTTTGAAAATTTATGTTTTTCCACAGACACCTGAAGGCATTGTTTTACCACTTGACCCAGTCTCTCTAAAATCAGGTATTCATTCTGGAGATTTCCAGCTTGGTGAAATTGTTAGGTGAGTACTATTATTATTATTATTATTATTATTATTATTATTATTGCTAATAATAATAATAATAATAATAATAACAATGTGAATCCTGTGTGTAGAATATACTCTGCAGTCTAATTAATGTGTTACCTTCAGTTTTACAAATTCTTGAATTATTTGTTTGATTAATATCTGTCTCTCTCTCTCTCTCTCTCTCTCTGTGTGTGTGTGTGTGTGTGTGTGTGTGTGTGTGTGTGTGTGTGTGTGTGTGTGTGTGTGTGTGTGTGTGTGTGTTTAGTACTGGATTGTGGAAAGTGGTGGCAAAATTCCAGAGCAACCCACAGCAAATCTATTCTGCAGAATTTGAGGTCAAAGAGTATGGTGAGCATCCCATTATCTGTACAGTACCTGCACAACATTTCTTTACTGTTTTTAAATGTGCCATACAAATAGCAATTTGAACTTGACAAAGAAAATATTTTAATCTTGCAGTTCTACCCAGTTTTGAGGTGAAACTGACACCATTAACACAGTTCTTCCACGTGAACAGCAGAGATTTCACCGTCAGAATCAAAGCTACGTATGTAATTGTTTTGTGGATTTAAGTAGTATATATGTGATCATTTATTGTTACATTTTGACCTGGGTTCGAACTGGTTGTTCACAAGCACATCTTTATTTCATGGTTTAAGGTATCTGTTTGGTCAGGAGGTGGATGGAACAGCCTATGTGGTATTTGGGGTCATCAAAAAGGACCAAAGTAAGCAGAGTTTTCCAGACTCTCTTCAGAGAGTGCCGGTGAGCCCATATTTATACTTAAGATTTAGCCTTTCCATATAAAGCAATGCTGACATAAGAATTTAAATACCTCCTACTATTCAGAAACTGTATTATTGTGCTATAACTGCGGAACATATCTTTACATGAACATCTTTATGTTTCTGAATTAGATTGAAAATGGTGAAGGAGAGGTGACACTGAGGACGGAAGACATAACAAAAGTTGAGAGGGACATCAACAGCCTTGTAGGGGGCGCCATATTTGTATCTGTCAGTGTGCTGACAGAAAGTGGTAAGAAAGAAAGCCCATCTTTTTGGTCAGATTTTCCTATATGTTAATTTCAATGGTCCATCAGCTTTAGAGATAGTATATGAGTATCAACAAAACAAAAAAAATTAAATTAAAAAAAACCCCATCTGTGTCAGAAATGAGAAATTACTGTTTTTTGTTTTTATTTTCGGTGAAAACAAAGTGAGTAATAGAAAAACAAATGAATTCTGACAAGTTTTTGTGTGTATAATTATTTTCTTGTACCCTGTCACAGGTAGTGAAATGGTGGAGGCCGAGCTGAGAGGTATCCAGATTGTTACATCACCCTATACGATCCACTTTAAAAGAACTCCAAAATATTTCAAGCCAGGAATGTCCTTTGATGTTGCGGTAAAGCACTAATTTACATTTACATAGTCTGATATAATATTACACTTTGAAATCATAATTTTGATATATCAGTTGTGGTATTTGAAGAAATTATAATTGCTTTAAAAAGTGTTATGATTCAGTTTCTTTTTTCTGATGTCAGATTGAAGTTTTAAATCCTGATGAAACACCAGCAGAAAACGTTCCAGTAGTGATTAATCCTGGGGCAGTCAGGGGATTCACTGCAGCTAACGGCATGGCTCGGCTCACCATCAATACAGAAGGAAATGCAGCCGAGCTGAGAATCAATGTAAGTTTTTTTAAGTTTTCAAAAAGCTTATAACCCCCCCCCCCCCCCAAAAAAAAAAAATAACAGAGTATTCCAAAAAAGACAACAAACAAACAAACAACAACAGCACCACCAATAATCTTACAGCACAAATATATATATGTATATATATAGATATATATCTATATATAGATATAACCTTATGTCTGTTTTTAATATTTGCTCCCTAACAGGTGGGCCAATATAAACAAAACTTTGCATAAACATCAGAATTAGAATCAAAATTACATTTATTGCCAAGTTTGTTCACAAACAAGGAATTTGTCTCAGTGTCTTGCTGCAAGAAATATCATCCAACACCAATTATTACCATCTGTATGTTTAAAAAAAACTAAACAAACATTTGTTATATATCCATTTGTTATATTTATTATATGTTCATCATCCCTCTGCGGATGGATTGCTTTACACGTCACATTCAGTGTACATTGCATGTGCATAACCTAACTGTCACAAAAACGACCCATTTTGCTACTTCCACTACTATTACTTTTACTACTAGTACTATTACTTCAACTCAAACTACTACTACTACTAATAATAATAATAATAATTACAATAATGACAACATTAAAAATGACTTAATATAATAATAATAATGTAATAATAAAAATAATGTAATAATAATAATAGGGCAGCACAGTGGCTGCCAGAATGCTATTTTGGATTGTTCTGGCTCACTTTAACGCTTGCTCACACAAATGCTGCCCTCAAGCAATAAAGATCATTTTCAACCCCTTTTTACAATAACATAGAAAGAGATTATCACTTGCTTATCACTTAATTTAACTTGTTGCTCATTGATTATGTATGCTGGGCTTTAATTACAGGTCCTGACTGATCCTTGCACAGTTACACATGAAAGCACATGAATGTTTGTCTTATGCTTAGTATGGCTTATGTGTGTGTGTCTTTAATTACAGGCAGTGACCGATGACAACATTCTTACACCTGATAAACAAGCAAGAGCAGAGATGACAGCAAGACCGTACCAGAGCAAGACCAGGACTTTTATCCACATAGGTGAGAAAAATCTTGAAGAAGCATTGCATCAAGTAAAAGAATAAAGATTGTTACTGTAGGTAGAAGTGGAAGTATACTGTGTGAAACAGGCACTAAAAGATGTGTTCAAACTATAACATTTATTGAAACATATTTGCAGGTGTGGACGCAGCTGAGCTGAAAATATCAGACAATCTAAAAATCAACCTCAATCTCAACCAGCAGCCAAATCAAAATCATGATATCACATATCTGGTGAGAGATGTATTCATTTGTTTTTGTATATATAGCTATTTTTTCTGTGATGCAACGACTGGTCATAGTACATACATGTGTGCTTAAGGTGTTAGGTATTAATGTGTAAATGTGTTTCCCCAGATCCAGAGCAGAGGTCAGCTAGTGAAATACGGCCGTTATAAGACAAGAGGCCAAGTACTGATTTCCCTGATACAACCAATCACCAAAGAAATGCTGCCATCGTTCCGCATCATAGCATACTATCATACAAGTTCAAATGAAGTGGTATCAGACTCTGTTTGGGTGGATGTAAAAGACACCTGCATGGGCACTGTAAGAGACTCAAGAGCTGTGACAGAGTGAATCTTTACAGCCAAAATGCACAAATGTTACTCATTTCTACAGTAGTACTTATTTTTTTAACATATACAAATTTGCATGTCACCCTCACTTAGCTGAAACTGGAATCCTCACGACCTGCTCCAGCCTATGAGCCTCGCAAGATGTTTGGTCTGAAAGTCACAGGAAATCCAGAGGCCACAGTGGGACTGGTTGCAGTTGACAAAGGTGTCTACGTCCTAAACAACAAGCACCGCCTGACACAGAAAAAGGTCATTTCTCGATTTTTTGCTTTTTATATTTTATAAATTGTTTAGCTTCAGTACACAAATTGCACATATTGGATTTTGTATTAATTTACATATTGCATACTGTTGAGAAATCAGTTTTACCCCGGTTCTTTTATTCGTCGAAACTTCCAGAGACGGCACCGGAACTCAGTAGTCATTTCACAAAACCTTTATTCATCTTTATTCATCTTCATTTAAGCATGCACTTCTAGAAGGGAAGACGAGGCCGGTTTCCCTCTCCAAATCTTCACCCCTTTGTTAGTTACAGCCAGCTTTATAGAAGTGACCCCATCATAAAACCCCCTACGGTGTGCTGCAAACTCTGTCTGTGTCTATGTGCACGAGCACATGAATGCCTACATGTGCGTTCCCTCGTGTCTATGTGAGTGCTCGTGTGTGACTGTGTGCGCATACCTGTGTGTATGTGTGTGCACATGAGTGAGTGTGCGTGTGGATGTGTGTGCGTGACAGTTAAAACACTGTGGGTGTAGGTAACTCCCTAGAGGTCATAAAACCCCTCTCCCTTACAGACCACAGGTATCCAGTTACAATGTTGAGACCCCCACCCATACATCCTCTGGGGAATTTCCACTCAGCATTAACTCTTCTCTGTTTTACTTTCACAGCTCAAGTGGGGGAGGGGTACCCTACAATCTACTCCTAAGTTCACAACACAATCAGCCTTTATTATATTGAGGGCAGTGTCAGTGTCTCTACAACAGTTCTACGTTCTATGATAACACATTTCTAAACTCTAAATCAGCTAAATATTCTACAATACACACCAAAAACCTGAAACTTGTTATGCTGTTAAAGCATGCTAACCTGTGCCTCAGAACAACTATGCATTAGCTGGGGCACACGACAGGTGGCCCGTAGGTCCCCAGTTTTATTTGTTGCTCTGAGTGTGTGTTCATATGAGATTATTGTGAGATTATTGATTATTGTGAGTCTAAAATTTGAAAAAAAATTAAAATGTGACAGTGAATTCAATGTCATAATATAATCTTTAAGATGTCAATAAGACATTTTTTATTTTTTAGCCCATTTGTTTTTATAGATTTGTGAGCCATATTCGAGTCCTCTTATTGTACGTTTACTGTTCAATTTACATTCTTGTATGTGTTTGTACTTTAACCTGTAGGTGTGGGACATAGTAGAGCAGTATGACACAGGCTGCACACCTGGTGGAGGAAAGGACAGTATGGGTGTCTTCTTTGATGCTGGGCTATTGTTTGAGTCCAACACTGATGCAAAGACCACATATAGACAAGGTGACAATACTTTTCTTTCGGCTTCATTGCTAAACCCTTGAAGAATGTTGGGTTTTCTGCTTCATCACAAACATATTAATAAAGTTGAAATATTATACTTAAAAAAAGGATTATTTCTATCATGTTTGAACAGTCCAACAACAAAGGTTGTGTTATATTCTTTCTATTTTAGTAACATAAAAACCAAATTCAGATTCAGGCTTGTTTGATATGGTATATTTTGTCTGTGTCTCATTTTACAGAAATTAAATGCCAGCCTGCAAACAGAAAGAAACGCAACGCTGCTGTAATGGATGTCAGAAGCAGCTTATGTAAGTATATAAATATTAGGGGTGCAACGATACACAAAATTCACGGTTCGGTTCGGTTCGATACTATGGTGTCACGGTTCGATATTTTTTCGATACAAAAAAAAGTTCATGCCTTTTTAATTTGTCATTTATTAAAATTATAAATATATATTTTAACTCAAAAGTACAGTTTTTAAATTTAACCCTAACCCTTGTGCGTGTTTTTTATTTTGACAGCGAATGCGCACCTGCGGACCACTTATGTGCAGCCCTGGTTATTTAGCTCGTCATATTGCAGCCACAATAATTATTTTGTCCATGAAACCATAAAGCTGCACTTTCTTTTTGCCTTATAGTCTGATTTGTCATAACTTCTCCATTTTGTGGTAAGCTTTTCTTTGGCTGTCACTTCTTCACCCTGACCTGTCTTATTTGGCTCAGCAGAACTGAAATATATATCTGTCTGTGAAGGTTCTCAGTCATCCAGGTCATCGTAGTCAAATATAAATCCTGCTGCTTTTACACACGCACTCACATAAGCTCAGCGATTCTCTGCGCGATCAACCTCTCACATGTTTAAGCTGCGGGAGATTTCACTTGTCATGTTTGCATAGTAAGCTAACGATTAATAAGACGATGTCAGAGGAATTGGTGCGCAAATTATCATCACTCACAGATCAGTGCTGTCGCTCTCTATACACAGTTCGCACGATTGCAAAGTGAAAGCAAAAAAACAAGCGCAAATTCAAACGCGACTTCAATATGTCACATATTGACAGTGGCTCACCGATGCCAATGACATAATTACCCAGCTACATTTCTGAAAGAATGCAAAAGCATTGACATATATTTTTCCTTCCTACAATAGCCCGACGGGCAGGGCAGAGATAGATTTTGGTAGCCCGACTGAAAAAATCGCTAGCTCCAGGACGTCGGGCTAGCGATATTGCGAGCCCTGTATCTGATTGAGGAATCATGCATCTTTGGAAAAGAGAGTTTATTACAGAGAAATGTCTCTTTCCAAAATAAAAGCTATACTATCCGCTTCTTCTGGGCTATATTCTCAGCAGCATAAGGAGAATCACGTGCTAACAGCTGTCTAAATGACTCGGCTAAAGTTAGTAACATGCTTGTTGTTTTTGTCTTTGCACTAGGATGATGTCGGCGTAAATGTGCAGTCATATTCGTTGTGTTCCCACTAGTGCTTTCAGGTTAATCTCGTTGAAATGACCTTAACACCACAACACGGCAAATCTCCGTTAACGAGCTACCGCCGATCGCCCCGTGCATGGGGCTAGACGGCCAACACGTTAACGAGCTAACTGCGCTAACACACTAGTTCCCACCCATGTAATTGAGCATTGCATGGCACATCCAACATACTGTTTTACTTTAGTCCATGACTCGCTTACCTTCAGGGTCATACGTCACATGAAAACCAAAATAATTCCAAACGCCAGATCTGAATGAGGGTGGGGGAGGTGCCCTGCGCTCTTCCTTCTGACTATGCTGTCTGTGTTGAGCGCTCAGTGGATCTGCGCTCGACAGTGCAGCCTAGGCGGAGTAGTCGAACGCAGATTCACTGAGCGCTCAACACAGACAGCATCGTCAGAAGGAAAGTTGATAAAATAAATTACAAATGTTGTATTGTTCGATACATATGCGTACCGAACCGAAAGCACTGTATCGAACGGTTCAATATCGATACGAATATCGTTGCACCCCTAATAAGTATATATATATATATATATATATATATATATATATATATATATATATATATATACAACAGACAAAAAGAAAAATAAAACATTTATTTTATGCTTTTGACTTCATTAAAATATTTTCTTTTTACAAAAAGACATATTTAAAAATATATGTTTGGAACTTTACAGTGAATCACAGTTCTCATGCTTTCTTCCACAACCGTCTCTGTTTTCAGTAAAAAATTATACAGACCCAGTAGAAACTGAGTGTTGTCTGGATGGCATGAAGGAAACCCCCCTTTCATACACCTGTGAGGTCCGCAGCGAGTACATTGTTGATGGTCAAGGCTGCCGTGATGCTTTCCTGCGCTGTTGCAAGGCAGTGGAAACTCTTCGAGCAGAGAAGAGGGAGGAAGACCTCAAACTGGCTCGCAGTAAGAGATGGAAACAAAATGGGAAGGGGTTATCTCATTCATACTACCTGTCATAAAATTCACAAAATTATATCATTTTTAATCAAAATCCAGGTGAAGGAGAAGACAACAGTTTCATGGACAGCAATGAAATTGTTACTCGCACCAAGTTCCCAGAAAGTTGGCTCTGGTCTGATATCAAATTGCCTCCTTGCCCTAGAAACACACCTAACTGGTGAGTCACAGTAAATCACAAACACATACAAATGAAGTTACATCTTAACATCTCTCAGACTGTAAACATTTTTCTCTGTTTCAGTGACACCACATCATTTGTGAAAAGTGTTCCTTTGCAAGATTCAATCACAACCTGGCAGTTCACCGGCATCAGTCTGTCAAGAACTCACGGTGAGGACTCGGTGACTAAAATATGGCTTTTTTTGGCCTTCCCTTTACTTTTTTTAAAAATGTCATTATTTTCTGCATATTTTCTTTAAGGAATCTGTGTGGGTGATCCATTTGAGGTCATTGTCAAGAAGGATTTCTTCATTGATCTCAGGCTGCCTTATTCTGCTGTCCGTGGAGAGCAGATAGAAATTAAAGCAATCCTCCACAACTACAGCCCTGATCGAATCACTGTAAGTACAGAACCACAGTAATTACTGGACTGAAACACAGTGGTGTTCAAAAGTGTCGTCTTGTGCAGTTTATTATGTGCATTTTCATGTTGTGTTCTCAAAATCCTTTGAAAAAAAGAGAACTGATTATTAAAGAGATTATTTTAACAAAGCTTAGAAATTTAGTGCGTTTTAACCATAGTCTGCTCATTTTATGTAAAAATGTAGTTTGTTGTTGTTTTGGTTCATGAGCTTGAATTTTTTTAATTTGTGTGTTATATATAAGTGTAGACTTGTATATAGTTAAACATTATATAATGCTGAATTTTGAATATTGATTTATAAATAATAGAATTTCAATCAAGGGGGTAGGAACAGAAAAAGTGTAAGTTTCATCCTACTCCTTTTCGAGCATAAACATTGTGTAGACAAGATATATATATTGATAGATATTCACAAAAAGTTAATGTCATTAAGTTTTTCTTTTCTCTTGTTATTTTAGTCATAATTACATGTTCAAAGTAAAACGATTCTATCTATCTATCTAGGCTTATCATATATTACTAAAATTGAAGAGTACGATCCCTTTTTCTGGTGGTGGTCAGAGGGCCCGGTGGCGCCAGTGTCCGGCAGCCTCGCCTCTGTCAGTGCGCCCCAGGGCAGCTGTGGCTACAATGTAGCTTGCCGTCACCAGTGTGTGAATGTGTGTGTGAATGGGTGAATGACTGAATGTAGTGTAAAGCGCTTTGGGGTCCTTAGGGACTGAGTAAAGCGCTATACAAATGCAGGCCATTTACCATTTACCATTTTTCATGTTGAGTTTATTACCTTCGTTTTCTGTAAATAAGGAGTAACTGAAATTGCCGAAAGTTAAAGGAATGCTCAAAAAAATCTCCGTATTTCATCAGGATCTTTGTATTGTTCCAGTTTGAAACACCACATGATCAGTCTCTTCTCCAACTTTGTCATTGCTGTTTTTCTTTTATAAAGGTACGCATTGATTTGACTGAGGAGGAGCACGTGTGCAGTTCAGCTTCCAAACGTGGTAGGTATCGCCAGGAGGTCACTGTTGGGCCCGAGACCACACGATCTGTCCCCTTCGTCATTATTCCCATGAAGGAGGGAGAACGGCGCATTGAGGTTAAAGCAGCTGTTAAGGAGTCATATCTCAATGATGGCATCATGAAGATGTTGCGGGTGGTGGTAAGAAAACCAATGTTTGCTATTTGGATGCCCAAAAATGTGTTCAATATCACTTTCTTATTAAATAAAACAAAAACCAAAAAATGTCTTATCTGAATGTGAACAGGCCTTTCAAAATTGTAGTAAAGGTAGTAATAAAATAATTTGAAAGTTATTGTTTGTTGAGGTTTAGGCACAAAAAGGATAAGACAGAAACAACAACTGGAGTCTGGCTCAATCCCAGACCAAACGTCAGACTGATAATTTTGTACACTAATAATATGTGTTGATCTTTTGTTCTAATCACTACATGATTATTACTGCCAAAAAATTTCCCTTAACAATCTCAGAAATCATCAAAAATATTATCAATAATCATACTGGTCAAATGCATTTTTAGTTCATTGCTTGTTTTGTGTCTATTTTGTAAAAGGGATTTTATTTAAAATGTGACTTAGGTCAAGTTAGAAAAACTATGTGATTTGAATTAAAATAACAGGTTAATATGGTTAATGTTGCAGGAAGTCTGTCACCTTGGTTAAAGTTACACGGGAACAATATTTAATAATTACGTATAGTTAAAAATAGATAATGATGTTGTTGAAATTTAAATAGACCTGACAGTTCAAGCTAAGTCAGACATCTAAAGCTTTACAGATGGCCAAAATGTTGCAACTAGACAGTTAAGTGAAGGATTTTCAAAACATCAACACTTAGTTAACAGTGTTGAGGATCCTGCCACTTAACCACATCATGCCAGATATCACAGAATTGTCTTGAGAATTTTTGTAATGTTCATAAAACGACACGTCAAAAATATTGTCATCTTGAAAATAGTTTCAGCTTCATACCAATATTGATGATGTTATATTTTATATTATGTTATATTTTATATATTGTAAGGAAAAATACTCTGTGCATAACATAACATTGTAAACCACCACAGTCACTTAATTATTATCTGCCTCTCAGCAGCACACTTTCAGTATCTATTGCAACTACAAAGTACGCATTTTATAGCTGCAATAGTAAGTTAACTACTAACATCATTTGCATTTTTGCTGCTGTGGCTACTTCTCTCACACATTGAGAGAGGTTCACTTCACACATCAAGCCTGCAAAGTTAAACTGAGTTTAGTCATAAAGGCTGCAGTTAGGCTTAGAAGGACAAACTGTGGATTGTAATTATGGATTTATTTCCTGTTTTGTAGCTACTGCACTTTTCTTTGCTAAAATAATGATGACTTCCAATGTTTGTCTGTTTTCCAGCCTGAGGGCGTGCTGGTTAAACATCCAAAGATTGTGACTTTAGATCCTGTTAAGAAAGGAGAAAGTGAGTTTATCTATTAAAAAGCTAGATTCTAATTATTAAGTCACACACTGATTTTCACCTTAATAAAACCTTTTTTTTCTCTGTTTAGATGGTGTACAGAACGAAGTTCTTAACAGTGGAATTAAAAGGAAAGATTTGGTTCCAAACACACCTACTAGCACACAGATCTCTGTGACAGGTGAGAAATATTTAATATTTATGCAGTTTATGTGATTCAGTGGCTATATCACCCTGAAGCTTCTATTATATATTGTTATTGTTGACATTCGGGACTGACTACCTTAATGGGTGTTGTGAACCTTTTTTGTATGTGTATGCATGCAGGGAGAGAACAAGTATCTCAGCTGGTGGAGAATGCCATTGGCGGCAACTCAATGGGCACTCTAATCAGACAACCCTCGGGCTGTGGAGAGCAGAACATGATCTCAATGACCCTGCCTCTTATTGCAACCTTGTATTTGGACAAAACCAACCAATGGGAAACTGTGGGCTTTCAGAAACGTAATGAAGCTCTCCAACATATAAAAACTGGTAGGCTCTCACAGATGTACATGAATTCTTTGGTAACACAATAAACACACAGAGCGCCTCAAAATTGTTTCTAATTGATAAGAGTCAGATGCAAGTTGAATAGCAGTGAAGTAAAAAGATTGTTTTATTTCTTTAATTGTTTCATCAAGGTTACACAAACGAGTTGGCCTTCCGTAAAAATGATGGATCGTTTGCTGCATTTGTTTCTCGCCCAGCTAGCACCTGGTGAGGCACCCACAAACATCCATGAATTCATACATAATATTTTGCACATGCTGCTTTAATTTCTGATTTTGCGAAGCCAATTTATAGTAAGGGCAAATAAATTATATTAAGCTATTGTATCCCCTCTTCCTGTCTATAAGGCTGACTGCCTATGTTGCCAAGGTGTTTGCAATGGCCCATCATCTGGTTGCAATACAAGATAATGTGATCTGTGATGCTGTCAAGTACCTTATTCTCAAAGGACAACAACCTGATGGTGTTTTCAAAGAATTTACAGCTGTAATCCACGGAGAGATGAATGTGAGTGCACTGATTTCATTAACACCAGTTCTTCATCTATACTTAAAATACAAAATAACTTATAACTAAATGAGAAACCAGTTATACAACTGCCAATCAGCTTTTATAAATATTAAAAAAAAGTTCTGTTAGAAATAATAATAATATGTTTGTGCTTCATCTGTAGGGTGATGTGGCCGGCTTAGATTCAGACGCCTCCATGACAGCTTTCTGCCTCATTGCAATGCAAGAGTCACGCTCAATATGTTCCGACACTGTCAATGTGAGTATTTCACCTGCAAACATTGTTGTTACAAAGTATCTAAAATAATCAAACGGTGATACTTTCTATTGCACTTGCATTGAAGATTTAAACCACAGACCAGCAAAAACAGACAGAATTTAATTAATTTCACCAACATGTTCTGTAGGCTCACAAAAGGATGAAGAACATTATGTTCCGTTTTCCTGTCACTCATTATCTTCCTTTCTTTTTCCTTTTTTCATCTGCCCAGAGTCTCCCAGGCAGTATAGACAAAGCAGTGGCCTACCTGGAGAGGCGCCTGCCCAGCCTCACCAACCCTTATGCTGTGGCCATGACATCATATGCACTGGCTAATGAAAACAAATTGAACAAAGAGATCCTATTCAAGTTTGTTTCCCCAGGTATGTTCACACACACACACACACACACACACACACACACACACACACACACACACACACACACACACACACACGCATGCACAATCACACACACACACACACACACACACACACAGACACACACACATACACACCGCACATGTTTGCACAATCAGTTAAATGTAACTATGATTATTACAGTCTCAGTGAATTCCAAAAACCAGTGAAAAAGAAAACTGTACTGCAAAAATATATTCTTGAGGATTTTTTCAGTGCTTTTCAGTTGCTACCCTGTTCTTCTCTCATACATACAGGACATAACCATAGGCTAAAATACAAAAAAAAAATTTGTCATTAATGGTTGGTAATGGTGCAAATGGACTCAAGATGTGGAACTCAGAACAGGTCCAGCAATAGTGCTTTTATTTACAGTAAAGTTACAAAAAATGACAACAGAAGGAATTGTGAGCTAGTGTGTCCAGGTTTGCAATATTTACAGATCCACAGAAACTCTACAGGGAAAACTCTCTGTCTTAAAAACTCACTGAGACACAGCCAGGATTCCTGCGCAGAGATGAGAAAAATGTGAGGTGACAACAATAGACAGAACATAAAAACTTCATATATGTGCCGACAACACTAACTCTTTGCTGTTCAACAATCAGGCCTGAAATATGGGTATTCCTCTAGCTTAAATCGCAGACAGAACAGCTGATTACCAACAGAAGAGTTTGGAAACTCCAGATTTGCTGACACCAGAGGTGGGGAACTTTTTGGATTCATTTCTAAGTCGAACATGTTTCGTAGATACCCTGCCAAACCCTCTGGCCTTCCAGATGCACTAAAGGTGGTGCAGATGCTGCTGCACGTGGACAGAACACTTACCTTTAGTTGCCAGAAACAGGGGAGGTTGTTAGCCCAGCAACGCCTCAAATGTCAGCCAAGTGGGAGCCTAGTAGCCAATGACGTCATAGTGTTGTGGGCTTACTTGATTCAGGTTAGCTGCGTGCTCCACCTGGACTAATTTGTGTAGTGGAGAGCTGCTTCCAAATCCTGGTTGCCTTATTTGGTCAGCACACTAGTCTGCAGAAAGAAGGAAGTCAGAGGGAAGACTAACCCAGGCACAAAACTCTCTCCAGGCATAGGATATTTAATTGGGCCCCTTATTATGTCTTGAGAGATCCCATGCAGACGAAACGCATGATTCACCAAATCTGTGATGTCTCTAACTAAAAGGGCAATTTTGAGAGAGCAGCAAAATGTACAGACCTTGAAAAACGGTCAAGGATGGTGAGAATGACAGTGTTACCTGCAGTTGAAAAGAGTCCAATGCAAAGTCAAATGCAATGTGGGACCAAGGGCATCCTGGTATTGTTAGTGAATGCAGCAGACTAACTTGAGGGGTGTGAGAGGTTTTCCTTTGAGCACAAGTGGAGAGGGCAGACACATGCTCCAAAACCCTTATTCAGACTTGGCCACCAAAAGAAACACTGGAGAAAAGTTAATGTTCAATGGTCAATGTGGTGAAAGTAAAAGTATATCTTTATGGAAAATTTCTGAAATTTTGTGATAAACCTGCAGAATAGAGGATAATTCAAGTGGTTCGGAGGATACAGAGATGTTAACTGGTTTTCTGGGAGATGTGGCTGATTTTAGACAGAGGTGATAGCCATTGTTCTGCCACAAATGAGGGAATTCCTCTAGCTTGAATAGAAAGCCGATCATCTGAAGACTACCACGAGGTGATTGTTTTAACTCTTGGTGTTCGGACATGAGATGCGGGAAATGGAGGAAGGACCTTCCCTTGGAACAGAAGGCGTGGTTAGAGGGACACACAGTGAACACACACACACACTGACAGAGGGAGATGAGCGAGAGAGAGTTGAGGAGAGACAGACAGAAGTGGGTGAAAAGCACTGAAGACTGGAAGACCATGACTTTTGTTATTCATGAATTTTAAAATTTACTATTTTATAAAATATCTGAAAAAATCTCATCAATTTTCTTGTGTTCCTGAAAATTTTACTTATTGAATATTATTGATTCATTTCTGACTTCTCAGTAAAATCCAGTGTGCCTACTCGAATTTGGGTATATATTTATCAATTTACTTTTATCTAATGAATACCAGTATTTTTTTTAACTTGAAAAAAGTTTTTACATTTTTTCTAAAATATTTCTGTTTTATATTATAGTAATAAAAATGTACTTGTGTGACTGTGTCTGTCAGAGCTATCTCACTGGCCTGTACCTAGAGGCCGTATTTACACTTTGGAAACCACAGCTTATGCTCTTCTTGCTCTTGTCAAGTCTCAGGTGAGCATGTCCAAATTATATCATCCATCTGTCATTCATGTGTCTCTAAAATATTATAGGTTTTGGACACAAAATCATTGAAAATTTACTTTACAGTATTTAAATACCATTGCTGACCATTCCAGAGTTACCATTTATTTAACTGTGAAATTCCAGCTCAATGAAGATAATTTCTACATTTATTTTTATGTTGTGTTATTATTGTGTGCAAATACAAATTAAAACAAATAAGACATTGCTTTGTACAGAGTCGTTATGAACTATGAAAAACATTGCATTTTCTTTCATTAGGCAAGTTTCTGGACTGGATTTGAATTATACCCAAATAAAAAGCAGATTAGAAAGCCTTCAAAGTACCTTTGAAAAATGTTTTTCCATAATTTATTTTAACACTCTACTCCTGTCCTTTGCTGTTTTAATAAAGAACTTTGAAGATGCCAGACCTGTTGTGAGATGGTTCAACGCACAACAGAAGGTGGGAGGAGGCTATGGATCAACTCAGGTAACACAAAACTTCCTGTCAATCAAGATATCATAGGCAGATATTTTATACATATTATCCCACCTTATAACCTTTGCCTTTCTTTATCTCCCCCACTTTTCTTCTCTCCAGGCTACTATAATGGTCTATCAAGCTGTAGCAGAGTACTGGATCAACGCTAACGAACCACAGTATGATCTGAATGTGGACATCAAGTTGCCAGGAAGGTCGATACCTGAAAAGTACAATTTCAATCAGAACAACCACTATGCCACAAGAACGTCTAAGGTGAGAAGAAGCAACACAAACACAGTCACCATGTAGCACAATTTGTCAGTCTGAAAACATGTCCTCTAGCAGTAAATAAATCTCAGTACTGCTAGTGTTTCTGTCTTTTTGGCAATCCATCTCACCACTCTGCAAGCTTTTTGGTCTATTTCCTTTTCCCTGTCTAACAGACATTCAATGCAATTTAAATTCAGTCGGTGGGAGCAAAGTGAGCTTATCTCTGTTTTTTTTCTCATAATATGTACAAACACATCTTTGTGTGTTTGTACATATTAATCCCAACAGATTAACGATATAAACCAGGACATCACAGTGACTGCTAGGGGAACAGGAGAAGCAACAGTGACAGTAAGTTATCTGTTAGTTGATCATTTCAGAATCCTAGACAAGGCTTTTTAAACCTTAAAAGAACAGTATTACAAAGACTTATTTATCACACAATATAAAAACACACTTTTTCTGATGCAACAGTTGGTATCACTGTATTACGCTAAGCCCAAAGAACGGGAGAGTGACTGCCAGAATTTTACCCTCAAAGTGGATCTCGTAGAAGGTACTTTGATGTCCTTTATCTCCTCTTTTTATTTTACTTATCTCATTAAATCTGTTTGCTTCAGTTTATGGCATTTTATTTGTTTGTGCTCATTTTTTCTTTTTCCTTATTCTTTCAGAAAAATCAAATGCAGATGAAAAGATATACAAACTTAGGATAGAGGTCATGTAAGTACAATATAAACTACACCTTAGAAATAGTTTTGGCTTAATAGGATTTTTTTGTTCCCGTCCATTTAACTCTGCTGTCATTTGAATCATTCTTATCATTCTCTCTACAGGTATAAGAACAGGGATCGTGATGCAGGCATGTCAATCTTGGATATTGGCTTACTAACTGGTTTTGCTGTTGAAACAAAAGACCTGGATTTGGTAAGAAGTTATGGTAATGTTATGTGGTTACAGTTAACCAAAATAATAAGACCTCTTAATGTTTAAAATTTGGCCTTTTTGTGTGTCTCTAGTTGTCTAGAGGACGTGGCCGCACCATATCAAAATATGAGATGAACAAAGCCCTGTCAGAAAGAGGCTCACTCATCATTTACTTGGACAAGGTTGGAAATCACTCCAATCGTTCTTCTTATCCCCCTTTTTTCCACTTTGCCTGGGTTTTTATTTATGCTTTTCCCTGTCTATATTTCAATTCCCAGGTTTCTCACACACGACCAGAGGAAATTGCTTTTAGAATCAAACAGGAAATGCCAGTGGGCGTCTTACAACCCGCATCTGTATCTGTCTATGAATACTATGAACGTAAGTCTCATAAACATGTTACCTTTGTTATTCTTCAGGTGTTCCAATCACTTCCATGGCTACAGGTGTATAAAAAAAGCGCCTAGACATGCAAACTGCTTCTGCAAAGATTTGTGAAAGAATGGGTCGCTCTCAGAAGCTCAGTGATTTCCAGCCTCTTACTGTGATCGGATAACACCTGTGCAACAAGTCCAGTCATGAGATTTCCTCAAATATTACTAAATATTCCACAATCCACTGTTAATGCTATTATAACAAAGTGACAGTGATGAGGAACAACTGCAACTCAGCCATTAAGTGGTAGGTCATATAAAATCACAGAGTGTGGTCAGCAGATGCTGAAGCACACAGAGGTTGCTAACTTTCTGCAGAATCAATAGCTACAGATCTCCTAACTTCATGTGGCCCTCAGATTAGCAAGCACAGAACATAGAGAGTTTCATGGAATGTCAGGAACTCGGCTTGGCCCCTTATTTCCAGTTAAAGAAAATCTTAATGCTTCAGCATACCAAGATATTTGGACAATTTCACCATCCCAACTTCGTGGAAACAGTTTGGGGATGGTCTCTTCCTGTTCCAACATGATTGTGCACCAATGCACAAAGTATGGTCCATAAAGATATAGATGAGCAAATTTGGTTAGGAAGAACTTTACTATCTTGCAACAGTCTTCACCCCAATAGAACAGGTTTGGGATGAATTAAAATTGGAGAGTGTAAACTAGGCCTTTTTGCTTAATATTGGTGTCTGACCTCACAAATGCACTTTGGGAAGAATGATCAAAAAATCCTATAAACACACTCCTGAACCTTGTGGAAAGCATCCCAGAAGAGTTGAAGCTGTTATTGCTGCAAAGGTTGTGCTGACATCATATTAAACCCTATGGATTAAGAATGGGATGTCAGTCAAGTTAATTTCTGTGTGAAGGGAGAAGAGCAAAATACTTTTGGCAGTGTAATGTAAATAGGCACACTATGCCATTTTATTCGATCATTTTCATATACATTGTTATATCTACCATAACTGTCACAAAATAACAGTCAAATACTTGTTTTTTTCCCTCAATGCAGAAACACGCTGCGTGAAATTCTACCATCCAGAGAGGGAAGCTGGAAAACTACTGCAGCTCTGTAGAGATAACATATGCACATGTGCTGAAGGTAAACACAATTATATATATAATCATATAAATCTGATTAAATAAGCTTATTTTAAAACTGTAATTAAAAGGTTTTCATGTATTTTTATATTAACTTTAAATGGTACAGAAAACACCAGTAGAAGTGTTATTAAAGTAAAGGTTTTATTTTAAAAGTCAAATTTTGAGCAAAAATCAGAATCAGAATTGCGTTTATCGGCCATTTATATGCACATATACATAAGGGCTGCCACAAATGATTATTTTGATAGTCAACTAGTCACTGATTATTTTTGCGATTACTTGACTAATCAGATCAAGCGTGATGCAAGCGTGAGAAAAACTGATTCATGCAACTAGACAAAGAGCACAAGCACACAGCAAATCTACAACAGGATAGTTTGGACTAATGTCCAGACCCCAACCCATTTGAAATGCTGTAGCAAGAATATGATAGACTTACACATGGGCAAACTTAAAATTCTTGAAACAAAGTGAGACACGGATTTTAGAGAAAACAATTACTTATTACTGCTAAAGGTGATTCTGCAAGCTTTTGAATCATTGGGTATACTTTCACACTGCAGTATTCTGGCCTGTGAAAGCACATTTGTTTTTCATAACTAGCTAGGGTGCTATTAGTAACTTTAGATGTATGCACAAATCTACAATTATAAAATCTGAAAGACGCCTATTTTGGCAAATGTGATTTAAAATTTGTTTTGCAGTAAATAATCAAAGGTTTATGTTAGAGACTGTAGTCACAACACTCAGAGCAGGAATTAAATGCTTACTGATATATTTGTTGTGTAGTTGACCTTCATATACCTGCAGTCACCTATCAACACACATGTATACATCAGCTTTGCATTTTTACCCTGTCCCTATTGTGTACTTACAGAGAACTGCAGTATGCAGAAGAAGGAAAAAATCCCCAATGATGACCGCCAAGCTAAGATTTGTGAAAGTACAGAGACCAGCAAAGTAGACTTTGGTAAACAAACATAAATGGGTTACATTTAGTTTTATTTAATAGGATATAGTAATGCAAAAAGCTAAAAACTATACTTTGGCTGCCCACAGCTTACAAAGTACTGGTTGAAGAGGTTGTAGAAGAGTTATCCACAGACAGTCACAAAGTCAAAGTGCTGGACCCCATCAAAGAAGGCAAGTACCTACATCCTTTAAACGTCTATTTTAAGAGAAATTACTCGTTGTTGTTTTTTGTGGCATTAAGATAGCAGTGATGGTTATTTTCTATTATAGCCACAAAAAATAGGCAATTTGAAGGACAAATCGAGCATTTTATAAAACTGCTGCTTGCTTTTGTACTAAGAGGTACATTTAGTGGTTGACACCATTTGCTATCAGTAAGCCAGATTAGCTTGTCTTGCTGATACCCATTTTCTAATTTAACATTTAATACTCAGCACAAGCATATTGCCAAAACACTTATATTACACATAAGACACTATTATGACGATACAACTAGGAATGTATATGGACACAGCAGCACTGTGTTTGAGCAACACATTCAGTCATTCATAAATCACTGCTCTCAACTGTCATATCTTAATTACAGGGAGTCTTGATGTTGGTCCACTGAATAAACAGCGCATATTTCTCAGTTATCAACACTGCAGAGAAGCTTTAAGTCTGGAACAAGGAAAAACCTACCTTCTCATGGGCTCAGATAAAGATATTCACAGAGATGACAAAAAAGATACGTAAGTATATTGTTTGTCTGGCTGTGCTTGTGTGTGGTGTATATTTAAACTAATCTCAGAGTTCTATTCATTAATCATACCTTCAGTGAATAAATGTAATTAACTTGAACTGTGTATATTTATCACAGTTGTTTTATTCTGTATTTTGCTGATTGGTCACACAAACACCATTTTTCTTTCAATTGTTCTTTTCAGATTCGAGTACGTAATTGGTGAGAGAACCTGGGTTGAGTATTGGCCTACAGCAGAAGAGTGTCAGACTGACAAATACCGGGATACCTGCTTGGGCTTGGAGGAGATGGTCAATCAGTACTCACTCTTTAGCTGCATCGGCTAGTAAAACAAAACAAAAAAAATCTAATTTTGTTATTCTGCTGTTTTTACAATTTTCTGTAAAACAGAAACCAATATAACATAAGGGTTTCACCATTTCACTGCAGTGATTAAAATGTATTCAAATGGGGTACTGGCTCTTAGTGTCTTTTGTTAAGTTTATGGTGGTTGAAAAATTTCTCGCATTTCTAATACATTTGAAATGTAACAAGCACAACGAAGAATAAAACTTTTGAAATAATAATAGTAATTTTAAATGCTGCGTAAGTAATTGTAAATTGTGTATCACTTTTTAACACCTTATATTTTAGAAATAGAAATAATTACACTGTAGTTACAGTTAAAGAGTGAATAAGTAATTCTAAGTAGTACCTAAATTCTGAATATTTTTAACAAAAAGGGGACACAAATTATGCTGGATGTAATTTTGTAATTTTAGGCTGTAAGCATAATTCTTTTGGTAATTTTGTGGAAAAACAAACAGTATTTATCCATATTACATTTTAAGAACACTGTATTTAGGGTGGCTGTAACTCAGGATGTTGAGCAGGACATCCACTAAGTGGAGGTTTGTTGGTTGTCTCCAATGCATCCATCAGAGTATGAATATGTGTGGATGTTTAATAGAATGGGTGTGAATGACTGAATGAGTCATGCTGTTTGAAGCACTTGCAGTATTCAGATTCATTTTCAGTAAATTTACTTTTTTGGGCCATATTAGTGGTCGACACCCCACTGTGATAAGGCAAGCAGAAATTATAGCCACAAACAAAAACATCATATGCCCTCTACAAAGTGTGCAGTGGTGGTCCTAGCCTGTTTGGCGCCCTGGGCGAACACTCCCTCTGGCGCCCCCCCCCCCCCCCCCCCTCAACACACACACACACACACACACACACACACACACACAATCAATCAATCAAAGCTTTATTCGTCACATGCAGGTTGCCCTGCAGTGAAATGGGACCCCCCCGACCTTACACATACAGTGGGGCAAAAAAGTATTTAGTCAGCCACCGATTGTGCAAGTTCCCCCACTTAAAATGATGACAGAGGTCAGTAATTTGCACCAGAGGTACACTTCAACTGTGAGAGACAGAATGTGAAAAAAAAATCCATGAATTCACATGGTAGGATTTGTAAAGAATTTATTCGTAAATTAGGGTGGAAAATAAGTATTTGGTCACCTCAAACAAGGAAAATCTCTGGCTCTCACAGACCTGTAACGTCTTCTGTAAGAAGCTTTTCTGTCCCCCACTCGTTACCTGTATGAATGGCACCTGTTTGAACCCATCATCTGTATAAAAGACACCTGTCCACAGCCTCAAACAGTCAGACTCCAAACTCCGCCATGGCCAAGACCAAAGAGCTTTCGAAGGACACCAGGAAAAGTATTGCAGACCTGCACCAGACTGGGAAGAGTGAATCTACAATAGGCAAGCAGCTTGGTGTGAAAAAAATCAACTGTGGGAGCAATCATCAGAAAATGGAAGACATACAAGACCACTGATAATCTCCCTCGATCTGGGGCTCCACGCAAGATCTCATCCTGTGGGGTCAAAATGATCATGAGAACGGTGAGCAAAGATCCCAGAACCACACGGGGGGACCTGGTGAATGACCTGCAGAGAGCTGGGACCAAAGTAACAAAGGTCACCATCAGTAACACACTACAACGGCAGGGAATCAAATCCCGCAGTGCCAGACGTGTTCCGCTGCTGAAGCCAGTGCATGTCCAGGCCCGTCTGAAGTTTGCCAGAGAGCACATGGATGATACAGCAGAGGATTGGGAGAATGTCATGTGGTCAGATGAAACCAAAGTAGAACTTTTTGGTATAAACTCAACTTGTCGTGTTTGGAGGAAGAAGAATACTGAGTTGCATCCCAAGAACACCATACCTACTGTGAAGCATGGGGGTGGAAACATCATGCTATGGGGCTGTTTTTCTGCCAAGGGGACAGGACGACTGATCCGTGTTAAGGACAGAATGAATGGGGCCATGTATCGTGAGATTTTGAGACAAAACCTCCTTCCATCAGTGAGAACTTTGAAGATGAAACGAGGCTGGGTCTTCCAACATGACAATGATCCAAAACACACCGCCCGGGCAACAAAGGAGTGGCTCTGTAAGAAGCATTTGAAAGTCCTGGAGTGGCCTAGCCAGTCTCCAGACCTCAACCCCATAGAAAATCTGTGGCGGGAGTTGAAAGTCCGTGTTGCTCGGCGACAGCCCCAAAACATCACTGCTCTCGAGAAGATCTGCATGGAGGAATGGGCCAAAATACCAGCTACTGTGTGTGCAAACCTGGTAAAGACCTATAGTAAACGTTTGACCTCTGTTGTTGCCAACAAAGGTTATGTTACAAAGTATTGAGTTGTATTTTTGTTATTGACCAAATACTTATTTTCCACCCTGATTTACGAATAAATTCTTTACAAATCCTACCATGTGGATTCATGGATTTTTTTTCCACATTCTGTCTCTCACAGTTGAAGTGTACCTCTGGTGCAAATTACTGACCTCTGTCATCATTTTAAGTGGGGGAACTTGCACAATCGGTGGCTGACTAAATACTTTTTTGCCCCACTGTATAGCACAAACATTACATGGGGATACAGGTCGGAGATTGGTAGAATCAGAGAAAAAAACATTGAAATGTACACTACAGTGGGGAAAGTACAAGAGGAAAAAAAGAGACCCCTACTCATGCTGTGCTTCCATGGTAGGACAGCATGAGAACAGGAAACAAAAAAAACTCCTTTGCACAAAATAGCACATAAATGTCCACAGCACAACATTGTGAAGACATGACAAACCACAGGGGTGGGTGGGGGATGAGGAGTAATCCGAAGCGAACACAGCAGCCACCCTGCACAGCGCTACCATTCCAGCGCAGCACACAGACCCGCCGTGTTCCCTCGCAGGAAACAAGCATCGAAGGCGTTGGAAAGGGAGGGGGATGAGTGAGTGCCTATCAGTGTATGTGTATGTGTGCGTGTCCATAGTTCAGCTGAGACAGTGTCCTTCGGCCTATCAGGCTAAGTAAACAGTCCTCCAGCCAATCCAGGTGTCCTTGCATGGGATGGGAAGAATAGCCGTAACATAGTCGTTATCAGGGAGTGATTGTTCGGCTCCAGCCTTGGGCCTGCAGCTGGCGCGTTATGGGGGTCCGCAATGTTCATGTTGATTTTGTTAATTTCCATGCGAGCAGCCCAGGAGAATTTTCAGGCTGCTCTTTAACACTCCGACACTGGCCTCTCGATCTCCCGTTGGAGAGTCGCGAGGCTCCCCATGATGGTATCAAACTTCTGTTCCATGGTGTTATCGTTCTTTTGATTCTGAGACCTCACAACTGCAGTGATCCGTTCCGCGATGTTTTCCAACTGTCGCTCAAGGGTCTCATTTTGAGCAGGCCTCTCTCTGATGTTTCCCCTCATACGCTCAATCGTGTTGTTTTGAGCCTTCACAGCAGCTGCAAGCGTCTCCAAGGTGTTGACCATATTACGTTCGTTGTGAGAGGTTGCGCCTCGTTCCATTTCGATTCCAGCGGGCAGCCTTGGGGGGGTTTGAACAGCCGGTTCCGCTCTCTTATTTCTCCGATAAACCAGGGCTAAGCCAACGCCGATCAGCATGAACCCTGTTATCATGGTTCCGAATAGATAGATATCTTCAGCGTCCTCGATCGACAGTCCCGTCAGGCACATGATCCTCCAGTTCTGCCACCCGTCCATCGTGTATCCGGCAGGGAAAGTCCCTCCAGGGCACTCAGGCTCTCCCGAGCCCAGATTTCTCGTTGAGAAAAGGGTGTCAATAGCATTCAGAGACCAGTTGATCAAATCCATAGTTCTCTTTTAGGTTTTAGAGAACGACAGTGGGAGGACAGACATTTGTTTAGAACTCTTAAAGATGTCGAAGAAGCAAGCTCCTTTAAGCAATTACTGTGATGTTTCTCCACCTCCAAAGAAATGTCAGAAGGAGTCCGAACCACAAAAGAAGCGTATTCTCGGAAAAGTAGTTGCAGGAGGTGAGCTGGTGTTGAGCTTGAAGAGTTTTCTTCTTCTTCGGCCATGTTCTCTTAATAATACACTCACTTGGTTGATTACTTTGCCCGTTTCTTTTATTGTTAGCAACACAGGAAGGGAATGAAATACATCATTGCTTCAGCAGTTCGCGCTTCGGAACAACAGGAACAGGAAGTGAAGTAATCTATAATCACCAAAATAAAATCCTTTTCAAAATAAAATGACAATCAGAAAACGTCTTTCACAACATAAAATAAATAAATATATTTACTCTTGAGAACACAAATCTAACACCCCCCCCCCCCCCCCCCCCCCCCCCTTGTTCTCATGCTGTTAACCCATAGCATCTTATGCATTTCCAAAGAACCATTTTTGAAACTTTCTGAGTCTCACTCTTGTAACTGGTTTTGTTGTATGTCTGCAGCCATTTCTTCTGATGGACAGTGTTCAATGCAGATTTTCCTTTCATTTACCGCTTCACGAATGAAGTGATATTTCACATCAATATGCTTTGACCTCTGTCTGTTCACTGGGTTTTTACTCAACACAATGGCCCCTTGGTTGTCCCCAAACAGTTTAGTACATGTGTACCTTTTTCTGTCCATGCCGTTTAACAGTTGGGTTAAGTACATGCTTTCCTGAGTAGTGGTTGCAAGACCAATGTATTCAGCTTCACATGTTGAGAGTGCCACTGTAGGCTGTTTCTTTGTTTTCCAAGATATTACTGGTCCCTCTTTAGTAAGTGCAAAACAGTAGCCTGTTGTACTGCGTCTGTCTTTTACAGAGGATGCCCAGTCAGAGTCACTGTAAGCAATTAGATCTAGATCCTCACTGCTTTTCTTAAAGATCAGTTCGAAGTCGTTTGTGCCTTTTAGGTATCTGAGGACTTGTTTTGCCGTTACTAAGTCCTCTCTCGTGGGTTGAGCAAGTGTTTGAGATAGTCTGCTAACAACCCAGCTTATATCTGGTCTCGTACACGTCATGGCATATATCAAACTGCCCACTATTTCTCTGTACTCTCTTGAGTTAACAGTCTCATTTGCATCATTTCCTCCACATGTAGTAGTGTCCGTTTTTAGTTCACACGGTGTGGATCTGGGTTTGCA